GATATGTTTCAGTCGAGCCGCATTGCATTGGCCTTATCCCTAGTGAAACGGGCTCAGCGAAGAGTCTTGATTGGAAAATTGTGTTCGTCCTTCCTCTGTGATGAATTCTCAGCTACACAATCCCACCAGTTCCGGGGAAATAGAAAACGACATGTTTCGTCAATGAAGAAGAACATCGGAAATGACGCTAGAAATATCCGCAACACAAAAGTCAAAAGTGTCCAACAGGCACTACATACGGTAGGAGAGCTGATAAAGAGCTTAGATTCTTCAGATGGACATCAGATCGAAGATCAAAAACGTTGTCATGATGGAGTAGAGAGAGTGCTTGGTGACATCGTCTCTCAGGTAGACGAAGGTTCATTGAACCCACTGGGAAAACATGGCAAAGAGCTATCAAGATTTTTTGAATTCATATTATACGCTTACAGCCAAGTTGATATTCCAGAAATATCCTCGTTTGACAAAAGCGGACAAGTTCTGGATACGTTGAAGAAGTGGAATCTGGACATTAGAAGCCGGCACTACGAGTTTGCAATAATATCAGCGAATCGAGAAGGCAGATACAAAGAAGCTACAGACCTCTTTCTTCGACAAATCGACCCTGAAGCAGGATATAATCCTATTAATGTGTCCCTTGATACTCCCCATGGATTGGTTGCAATTGCACTTTGGGCACAACAGGAAGGGTTGCCTGCTGCTGAGCATGTTTTTGATGCCGTCATGAAGTTGACTATGGTCTCACCAAGTGATTCGAAACAATGTAAGTTGAAACAGCTGCAATACTCCGATTCTATTCTTCGCTCTTATTGATAAAAACGCACACAGATACATTGGCAGCAGGCACGGCACTAGGTCAAGCAGGCGAGTGGGAATCAGCTATCAACTATCTGTATGACAGCGACGATATTAAGCAGTTTGGCCAAGTAAGTTTCCAAATTTGAGTGGAATAGCTTTCCACGACGACGTTGCTGACACCGTCGACAGCCCATCGTTTCAGCCGTTATGCGAGCTTGCTTGATGTGTAACCGACCAGACGTTGCATTGGAAGCATTCGATCACTGTATGAACGATCTTGGCATAATTGGAGGTGGAGAATGGCAATGGGGTGGTGGCAGAGATAGAATCGATCCGTTGTGTCGAGATATAGCGATGCGTGCTATGAAAGGCAAAAATGGAACTTCCGAAACGGCCTTAAATTTCTTTCAAGAGGTCTTGGACGAGGATGTAACTATCAGCATCGAAGCGTTGCAGGGCATCGCGGAAGCATGTGAGCGTGATAGAGACTGGGAAACGGCTCTCGGCTTGCTATTGTATATTCTTGAGCATCACAGCAGACCCAATTGGATTGTAGATGGATCGAAACAAGAAATCCAGGAACGCTATTCGGTGGAAACAAAGCTGTCTCCCGACGAGCCAAGCTGGATCACAAAGTTGGGACCAGTGCTGGCTTCCGTGATGAGAACGTGTAATGCAGATTCAAACTTTGGAACATCAATATTTTGTTTGCTATTGATTGACAACGCTCTAGGCAATGCTGCCGCAAGCACGGAAGAAAGGAGCCTCTCAGTGAAAATGACAGCATATCTCTCCAAATCGGAGTTTAATAATGATCTAGTGGTTGCTGCAATGACCTCACTCTGTGGATTGAGGCTATACAAAACTGCGATTGACATCTTTGAAACTGCCGAAAGAGACACAAGGATGCAGGGATCAACCGATGCCAGAGTCACATCCGATGCTGCCCTTTCCGTTTATCAGTACGCCTTGTTGGAGAATTCAAAACATGGCACAATCGAGACTGGGAACCCATCTATACATGCGATCTTTGAAATTGAGCGACTAATCGAAGATTCGAAATCTTCTGAGAAGCAAGGAGCTGGTGATTCACAACAACAGTGGAAAAGTACCTGTTCAAACCTAGCGGAGGCGATGAAAGCTTGCACCTATATTCGCCAATCAAATCTTTCATTCGTATTGTTTAATTGGGTCGCAATGCAAATGAAAGGTGCCAAGCAAGAGTTTTCCTCGTTGCAAAAAATTGCCAAACCAGTAGACTTGGACGATGCCTTTGCAATGCAATCAGACCCTCTTCTGGCAGAAGTTGTGAGTACGAGAAGATGGAATACTAATACTGCTGACTCAAACAATGTCTTCGAATCGCTTCTTCGCAACGACGTATCTGAAGTGGGTGACTGGGCAAATAGTTGCAATGCCGGTGTCTCAGCCCTTCTGGTAAAAGGTGATGGAGATGCAGCAATCAAGGTGTTTCATGCGCTTGACAATAAGGCAATGAATCCGGATTTGTTCGTCATTATTGCAGACCATCTGGCAAAAGAGCAACAATGGGCTGCAGTAATGGATTTATACAAAGCAGCATTGCAAGAAGGTTGTTACTCAGAGGAATTATCCGCTATTGCCATGAAAGCGGTAGTCTCGTCGGAAGTAGAAAGTAGAATTATTGTCCTCAGGGAAATGATTCAGAATGTTGCCCAATACAACGGGACCAATTCCGAGAAATGGTTGCGCGAGAGATACTGGGAAATCAAAGGGCTGATTGGGTTCAAGTATGCACGGCTTCTCATGTGGTGGAATGACCCCAGCACCTGCCATTTGGACGAACTTAATTTCGCCATCGAAGAGGTAAACGAGCGCACGGCCAATGGTGCAGATGTAAGATATGAAACTATTCGCACAATCATCAACAGCGCAAAGCGGGGGTTGATTGAGGACAATCTGGAAAAGTATCGATGGATTCCTTCATCTGCTGAGGAATGGAAAGAGTTGATGCAATTGGTGATTTACCAAGCGCAATTGACGAACCATCTCGATTCAAGGCTGATCGACGAGCTCGTGAGAAGTTACATTGCCCTCGACTGTCGTGAGGAATGCATCCATTTTGTAATGGACTCGCTACACTCGGGCACAAGAGTCAACAAGTTTTCGTTGCATCAGGCACTCGAGGCCGCACACCTAGAGTCATCTGACGCAGTCAATGATTTGCAGATGATGCTTTCAACATCTGTATGATCAATTCTCTCATTTCCCACGATGGTCGTACTTCAGGAAGAAAAGCAATTGTCGCACTGATCGTGGTTCAGCCATTAATATTTCAAAAAGTTGGGTCGTTTTTCATTGAGTGACTTCCTGATATCCTGAATGATTTGTGTGTTATTGGGAATTGGTTTCTGCCAATTAAAATCAGCACCGGCTTCCGAGAACTGAGTTCCCATATCGTTACCAGAACATCCAATGATGCACGCATCGATTCGCATTCTTCGCATTGCAAAGACGGCATCTGTTCCGACCATAATACCACCCTGCAAGATAATCAAGGATAGAATACAAATTGTATGAGTACATAAAATTCAATGTGCCAAGTTTCGTATCCACCACTGTACTTACTGCCTCCTCCATGTACTGGTCCACGACAATGACGTCAAAGGAACGATTGCCGCATATTTCCAAGGCTGCTTCCCCTGTAGCCGCTTCTTTAATCACGGCATTTGGTGCAATACCCTTCATTATTCTTCGTTTCAGCATCATGCGATTCATTTTAATATCGTCAACAATCAAAATAGCCAATGGCTCTTCAATGACGCTAGAAGACTCCTCCACAATGCTCTTTGGTTCCTCACAAATTGGCAACTTCATATAAATGACGCAGGTCGTTCCCGCACTGACACTCGGGTCACTGTGAAACTCAATTGACCCTCCATTCAAGTCCACCAAGTGTTTTGCAATGGCTAGACCCAAACCAGTACCAGGAGCACCGCCACGTTGCACAAATCGTTGAAATAAATTGCTTTGTTGATTCTTGGGAATTCCTGGCCCAGTATCTTCGCATTCAAATTTTACCATATCCCCTTCCCACCCAACTGACAAGCAGATGGAGCCATTCACCGTGTACTTGATGGCATTGGTGACCACGTTGGTAATCACTTGTTGGACACGATGGGAATCGCCAATGATCCAATCTTTACCCTGAGTGTCTGATTTCTTGAGGAATTCGACCCCCGGTCGGACCGAGGGCAGCAACATTTTGTGGACATTGCTGATAATCTTTTTTAGCGAGATAGGCGCTTTCATCAAAGTCATTTTGCCTTCTTCCATTTTCCGGACATCCAACAGATTATTCATAATGGAAGACATGAAACCTGTACACAGTTGCATTCCCGAAACTAGTGAGGATGCTTCTTCGGATAGATCATTTGGCAAGGCATTCAATGCACTGTCAATGGCACCCAATGGATTTCGAAGCTCATGTGCAAAGTAGGCCGTCATATTTCTCTCTGTCTCTACCTTTGCTTCTTGTGATGCTCGTAGATATTCCATCTGTCGAAGCGCTTCGCGATGCTTTTTGTCTTCGGTCACGTCTTGCGCCACTCCAACGACTCCCACAATGGCATTTTCAGGATCCCGCCTCGTCGTTGCATTGACTAGCAAGAAGACAGACTCTCCCGACTTGGATATAAACTCGAGTTCGTAATCCGAGGTTTCATTCCCTTGCAGTGCGTTGGAAAGAATTTCCTCTACCTTTTCCTTCATTTCCGCCGCAATGAATCGTTCCACGAGTGGTTCATCAAAGGCTTCTTCTTTGGGATACCCTGTAATTTCAGCGGTTCGTTTGTTCCATTCATTGATATTGCCATCGGTATCAATTCCAAAGATGGGTGCATTGGCCGTATCAATCAATTGCCTAAGTTCCGCTGCCATGCCCCCCACTGCCCGGTCGCGATGCACCGCTTCGGTCACGTCCTGGGCCACGCAGACCACTCCTACAATGTCCCCAGAGGCATTGCGTCGGGTACTCGCATTGAGTAACAGATGCCGAATTTCGTTGCGAGAAGTCTGAAAATCAACCTTGTAGCTGGACGTCCCATTTCCCTGCAAGGCATCATTTAGGACTTGTTGTACAGGCGATCTCATGGAGGGGACCACAATGGTATTGACCAAGGAACACCCAAGCACTTGGTCCTTTTGATATCCCGAAAAGTCGACACACTTGAGATTCCATTCATTGATATTGCCGTCACAATCCATTCCAAAGATGGGTGCATTGGCCGTTTCGAGTACCGTCCGACATTCTTTGGCCATTGCTGCTGCTGGGTCCATACCGTTTTGTGGTTGTTGTTGTTGTGGTGGACCAATTGAAAAATGGGATCGTTCAGAAGAGTCTAGAGACTTGACGCCATTGATAATGGAAACAGGACTTGATGGTAGTTCTGATGTCATGATTGCATCGACAAAAAAGAGTAAAAGCCCACAATAGGAACCACCATTGTCCAATCTAGCTGCCAATTTGACATGATACCGATCCCCTTCTGGATTGGTGGAAAAGGCTAGCTGGAGACACTTATTCTGCCGACCTCCCTTTTCTATTTCATTGACGGCATTTTCGAATACAACAGAAGATTCTGGTAGTAGAAACTGTCTCAGAGGTTGCCGTATTATCTCTTGGCCATTAATCCTTGTAATGTCCACAGCTTGCTGATTCCATCCAATCACACACTGGTTTCGGTCTAATAAAGAAATGGGGGAAGCAACGGAATCTATCCAACTGCGTGAATGCTGTTGTTGATGATCGTTCACTCGTTCCTCTATTATGCAGTCAGTTGCAACTACCATTGTCGTGTTTTGTTCTGGTTTCTTGCTGAGGTACATTTTATCATGACGGTGCACTGTCGTGTTTTTTCCCCCAAGGCGAATCTCAAATCTTGGACTTCTTCTCAACGCAAATGGAAACTCGGATGGGCGGGGCGCTATCCTCTATCATTCAACATTCCGCGCAACCAAAGCTTCTGCTCGGCCGATATATTTTGAAACTGATTTTGGGTTACGGTTTATTCTATACTTATACCAAATCAAACTGCGGAGAAATAACATTTATAGAAGAAAAAGAAACAGAATTTGAAAACCCAAAGAACTTGGACGACTGGTCGAATGCGTCGACTCGAAGATCAAGGTTTGTTTCATCCGCGTTTAGTGATTCTTCCAACACCACGAAATCAAAACATCGGAGAAATTAAATAACATTTAACGATTGCAAAAAAGCTTCTGTAAAGAATTCGAAAACTAACCCAAAGAATTCTGAATGGTCGAATGCATCGACTCAAAAGATTCGTTTGATCCCGGAGTTTTAGATGTTTTCTTCCAAGAACAACAACACACCAAACAAGTAACTTGAAAGTGGCTTCCATCCATAGAATATAGACTCTGGCAGCAACAGGAGTCATGAAAGGGAAAGACTCAAACTATTACAAGTCTTCAAGACAAGGAAAATCGTCACAAGGTCGTGATATGTGCATCCAACATCTAATGGCTGCCAATGCTGAAAATAACAACTTATTTGATGCCAATGCTGCTGCTGCCAAGAATCCAACAGATCTGAGCCAACAGTCGTCCCAACACCGTCAACAGCCACAAGATGATGAAGAATCTTATGGCCTGTACGGTGGAAATCGTCAAAACATTCGAGCACAGAGTACCAGTAGACAAAGACGCAAGTTTCCAAACTCTTCTTCCGCTTCGGTGCGATCCACCACATCGTCGCACCACCGACCGCAATCGACCGCCAGTCATCGTCGTCGGATTCGACGTTCTAGTACTGTTTCCTCTGCCGCTGGACGCAGCATTGCTTCTAGTCAACAACAGCAGCAGCAGCCAGTCGTTCACATTATCTGCGCCATAGGAGAAAACTTGGCCCGGGAAACCTGCGTGGCCTCGTTGGATGCTGGAACTCCAGTCTCCTTGCAGGTCACCAAACAAGGCAATGGACAAACCTATGCGGAAACTTTGGCCTATTTGGAAATCCTCAAGCCGCATGAAATATTGCTAAACGAAGGACGCAAGCATTCGCCATTGGCCCGCAAAATTGTGGAATTGTATTCTACTGCGACTGCTAGAGAAGGACAACCACAAGAACAAGAACAAGTACCACAAGAAGGCACCGCAACTTCCGAGAATACTACTACTACGGTAGTAAAATTCATTCCAAGAGTCTGCTTTGATCAGACCAAAGGAGCCGAAATGCTCCGCCGTCTCGCCCGCAAAGAAACCTACGATGCTCTATTGGTGGACGAATACATTCTCTTGTCGTCTGCCTACGCAGCCTTGCACTACACCCAACGCACACTTGGGGTTGGAATTTCCAAAAATTGTCTAGATATCATTGTCAACTCGGGAGGAAAGAATCGCATGGCCATTGATCGATCCTCCTTGCTACAGTTGGAGTTACTCACGAATGCCAAGACGGGAAAGGCGCGAGATTCTCTCATTTCCACCATTGATTGTACCAAAACGACAGTGGGCAGTCGACTGTTGCGGACCAACCTCATGGCGCCACCCAGTCGGATGGATACCATCCATGCTCGATTGGATCTGGTGGATACCTTTTTACAGTCCGAAGACTTTTTCTATGCCGTGTTGGAAAACCTGCAAAACCTTCCGGCCGTGGACAAGATGCTCACCAATGTGGCAGTGGTACCACGTAATCCAAACTTGGCGTCGAAAAGCAAACACAAGAATGCTACCATCAATGCGCGGCTTGCCAGCAAAGGCATTGCGACCCTGGTGTACATCAAATCGACCTTGACGGCAATTCCTCTTCTCACGCAAGTGCTCCAAGAGCATTTGGAGGAACTCGATAATAATGATCATCCTTCCGGTGAGGAAGATGAGAAAAATGGAGGAGTTTCGGCCATTACTGGCAGATCCAGTCTTCTCATTGGACTTGGAGGAGGAGAAGTATCCACTGCTCCACCCAAGCGTCACCATTTGTTGCGTGCCATTACATTTGCACTCTCGCAACCCGAACTAGCTCATGTTTGTGATACCATCGCCCAAGTTTTTACCGACAGCACTTCCTACAGTCGCAACGCCAATGCAATGCAGCATCAAGAGTGTTTTGCACTCAAGTCATCCGAAGATGGCATGATGGACATTTTGCGAAAGAACTTTCTTTCCAATGTTGATGATATTTACAAAAAGGCTGATGAATATGCAGAAGTCCATGGATTTCATGTGGCAGTCAAATATACCACTCTGCGGGGGTACTATCTTTCCATACCTGCGGATGTGGCGTCAACCTTGCCGGATGTCTTTATCCAGCCAACCATGCGCGGAAAATACATTCACTGTACCACCGAAGAAGTACAGAGCTTGAATACTCGAAGTCAAGATAATGTCAACGATTTGTTGCTCATGACACGTGATCGAATCCAGGGTGTTTTGGAAGTAGCAAGGGACAATTACGATGCTCTTGCTTCCTTGTCGGATGCAATAGCCTTGCTGGATCTTTGCCACAGTTTTGCCGATAAAGTCGCCCTTTGTCAGTCGGCTTGGTCCCGTCCAGTATTGCACAATGATGACGACTCCAACGAAAGAGAAGATTCAGCCACAGAGGAGGACGAGCAATCCAAAGATTCCTCTGGTATTATTATTCGGAATGGTCGATTTGGAATCGAGACCATAGACTCGAATGCCTCCGACGATGCCGCTTCCGAAATTGTCCCCAATGATACCTATGCCACTGGAAAGAAGCGATTTACCGTCATTTCTGGAATCAATGGAAGTGGAAAGAGCACCTATCTCAAACAAATTGCAATTATTGTCCTTCTTGCTCACTGCGGAAGCTATGTTCCTGCAGAATATGCTTCAATCCCGGTGAGTCAGGCGATTGGAGTGTCAGTCTTGTTTTTCGGTGGACCTCTACTAACGGTTGCGTAATGTCGCTTCAGATTCGAAATCGAATATTTGCTAGGATGGGGACATCTGATGACCAAGGTAGGTGATGATCTGACGTTTCGATCAACCGTGTAGCTGGAGAAAATGCATCTCAAAACCTTGCCATTTGGTCAGAGAACAACATTTCCTCATTCATGTTGGAAATGAAGGAAACGGCCTTCATCTGTAACAATGCAAGTCGTGGTTCTTTGGTGCTCCTAGATGAATTGGGTCGTGCGACTAGCAATGAGGATGGCATCGCCATTGCATGGGCAGTCTCAGAGTACTTGATAGCCAAGAAAGCCATGACATTCTTCGTATCGCATTATCCTCAGATTTGCCGCCTGGACCAAATCTATCCAGTAGTGCAAAATCATCATCTCGCAGCATCGGTTGTCACAGACTCATCCAATAGTATCACCTACACTCACAAAGTTGCCACTGGTCCGTGCTCGGTTAGCGCTGAATATGGTGTCGAGATGGCAAATTCGTGTGGTTGGCCCATGGACGTCGTTGAAGATGTAAGTACAAGTACCAGAAAATGACATCACCATTCCGAACTTCAACTGAATCATTCATTCATTTGTTGCAACAGGCCAGAGAAATTGAGCTATCCCTTCGAGGAACTGTGGCAAAGGATTTGTGTTTTGAAGTCGGAAACAAAGGAACCGAAACATCGAAGCTCAAGAAACAGTTGAAACGACTTTCGCGTGACATGGTCGAGACAGTGAATTCTTCCCCATCAATTGCAGCATTGCGGGCTTCCTTGGAGGTAAGTGCAACACAATTGAAATCGTCTCGATTCCAAGGTTTGTCCAATGCTGACTGTGTTGCGAACGTAGACGCTGAAAGCTGAGGCAGGTGTATCCCCAAAAGCACGAACTGTGTCAGCCACGGAGGGAGGCAACCGCCAACTCGAAAGGAGCACAGAGTCATCATTACACCGAAGTGAATCCAAATCTTCTCGTCGCATGTAGTGTATTGCTCCGTGCGAGTACGAAATGAATTAGTAGCGATTTGTAACCTCTTCCAGAGCTTCAAGTAGTCGTTGAATATCTCGTGGCGTAGTGGATAGATATGGTGAAATTCGAAACCCTCCACACCTCACAGCCACGTAGAAGCCTTTTGCTTTCAAATCTTCGCACATCTTAATCAATGCTGTATTCGATCGATTTGGTGGACGTATCCCGATCAAGTGTGATGCATGTGGTCCTGGAGAAACAGAATAATCGTGTTCCTTTGCCCATTTCAGAAGTGGAGCCATCAATACTTTCAGCTGTTGCTGAGCACAATTGACGTCTATGAGAGCAACTTCTTCCATGGCAGCCCTTAGCATTGGAATCAGGATTGGATTTGTCTTGCCACCAGAATCAAACTTTCTTGCATCAGAGTAGAACTCCTCTGGGTATCCATCAGGTGACATCTATTCCCGATGGGCGATTACCGTCATCATTAACAATGACCAAAAGTTAGTAGTGTTTTCTACAACGGTGTATGCGATTTCATTGCCTACCTCGTGCCTTGAGATTTCCCATGCAGATCCAGTAGGAAAGTCGCGTGATCTACCGTGAAAATCCAGTGGCGTCCATTGATCATGAAGCGATGGTGATACGTATACTAAACTCATTCCTGGTGGTCCCCGTAGCCACTGTAGTACTCCATTCAATATTAATACATGTTAGAAAGACGTCAAAAAAATGCAAAATGCAAGAATCATTATCGCGTTGATTTCTGATACATACCTTGTGAACGCTGCACGCAAGCAGATGTGGTTTCCACTTGGCCACACTACACGGCATAATCCCCACAGCTGAAACATGTGTGAGATCTTGACATAACTGAAACAACTTGTAAATTGATGGATCTCACCTTGCGTTGCGTCAACTATGAAATATATGCCCTTTGCCCTGCAGACTGAGCCGATCGTCTCAAGATCTACAATTGATCCATCTGACCAATGTAGCGGAGGGAGACATACAACCAGAACTTCATCGCTCAGTCGCTTCATAATTTCTTCAGTCCATCCTCCACTTGAATTATTTGGATAGCTTACAATCTCAAGTTGTATCGAACCTTCAGATTCCGAACAAAGCACCTGCCATGGATATATTGCTGAACACATTTGATCTTCGATCACAAGGATTTCGCCCTTCTTCCCCTTGATTGCACGCTGAATGAGACCGAGAAGTCAGCAACACACTTTTGAAGCAAATGTAGAGAACAACGGAATAAGGTTCACACCTGAATGTTTCTCGCTGCGAGTGTCATTGCAAAAGCTGTGCTTGGAACCATGGCAATGCTTGGACGCGCTGTTTCAATAAGGCTAGAGAATAGCTCTCTAATGCGCGTTCGATCACCCTCGACATCAATCTCCCATGGTGGCCGGTGTATGGCTGCTATTCCTACATTGCGAACCTAAAGAAGAAATTGTCCATCAGATGCCGTCAGACGTCAGACGGATCTTCAACAACAACGATATCTTGGATGAACGAGTAGTCCTACATGATCCAGCTTACAGCTTCTGATGATTCGGCTTCGCCAGCATTATTCAAGTACACAGCGTCACTTTGCCAATCGTGGGGCCACTTTCCCTCTGCTCCTTCAAGAGCATCTGCACAGGAGTTCTGGACCATGATGTTGTTCAAATAATAGTGTTATGCGGTTTCGGTTTTGTGTGGATTATGGAAGTCGAAGGGGTCGACGCAAGCAAAAATGAAACTATACGCTATACGTAGGGTACGGGCTACGCTATCTACGAGTATGTGTATAGCCTCTACGTGCAGCTTATTGACAGTGATGGTATGATTTTGATGGGATGCCGGCAAAATGGTGCTGGCATCGAAAAGGATGATCGATGCAGCGCAAACGTCCCTCTACATGATGTCGGCGTGCCAATAAGTCGGGAAGCGTCCATCATCGTTCATTTGAGGCATGATGGCTTGTTGAATGGAGGGGGGCTGTCTCGTTTGTTGGAACTGATAAAAGGCGCAAGTTGGTGCACGATTTCCGAATGCCGCCAATTGAAGTGTTATGTCCTTGAGACTAAGAGAAAACTTTGTTCCAGGTCCAACCTTGCACCATATCTGGTATATCTTGTTCGGTTGTGGGCAAATTAAAACTTGTAACGACGACGTTCGGTGATGGGCAAACGCGGAAAGGTGCACCACTTTCTTCTTTTTGAATGGAAGACCCATGAGGGATTGCTCAAAATTTTCGGATAAGGCGTCGAGGCCATCTGGGATGTCATGGGCAACAACAAAAAGTCGTCCTTTTCGCCGTCCGCGTCCCTGATCTTTCCATTTACACTTCAATGTGAAAGAATGAAAGGAGTTGTCATACTGCGGAATAATTGCCCCTATGCATATAGGCCGGTTTCTGTCATCTTGGTTTCCTCTGAGCATCATTGAGTTTTCGAAGTAGCCAGTGGCCAGAGAAGAGTGTGTTGCAAAGGAAAGATCTGTGAATATGGAGCGGCAAGTTTGAGAGAAACGGGCGGTTTCATGGGCTTCCAAGAACCTTCCAATTTCTCTGACAAGCTCCGGAGGTAGCTCAGAGGCAATGGGGGGCTGTGTCGGTTTTGAGTGAGATTCACAAATGCATTCTGATTCCTTGTATTTGGCTGTACTGCTCCGCTTTGTTTCTCTTTCATTCATCGTGGGCATTTCGATATTGCGACTTTGCTGTCGGAGCACAAGGGACACGTCTCAGCATCAACACACGTCTCAGCACCAACACAATATAGAGTAAAGTAAATGGATACAACAATGATCATCATAGTTGGCGCGTCTGAGATCCATACAGGAAAAAAGAATTCCGAATCTCTGGACAGTATACGGGGTGTAGTCCATTGATTCGACTCGTTTGACACGTGGAACTTAATCATTCATTTCGAATCTTGACATGTTGATTGATCTTGATGACACAAACCAAGAAATGAACCTCCATGATTCAATACTGATACTCTTCGTCCTAAACGGGCTGATATCGTTTGTCTCGTCCGAAGGATGGGGTATTGAAGCGCTGAAGGGCTCCCATGCAACAGCCAATTTTAGAAACCTACAGCAGCCATTGTCACTCCTTGTTCGAGGTGGTGCCGAAGATGATAATGATGAAGAAAGATATAGTCGACAAGTGTACACACTTGGGGCACGGGCTCATGGAATGGTTCGGTCTTCGACTGTATATGTCGATGGGCCAAGTGACTCTGGATTGCTATACGAATGCGTGAAGAATTTGGCGCTATCAGGTGTTGGCAAGATTGTCTTGGTTACTTCTGACGAAACTATGGACGCAGCGTATCATTCTACCGACATGGATGACCTCGGAAGAACCTACATTTCTGGTGCCCGTGCAGAATTGGGCCTGAGTGGTCATGGATCATCTGTATCATCAGACTCAATATTTGTCGAGTTTCTTCGCCGGTTGAATCCATCACTCCATGTCGGGTCAGTTGCTCGGAGTGAGCTACAAGAAATAAGTGGCGGTCGCAGTGACATTTTGCTCTGCGTGGATAGGCCATATTCTACTCAGGTCTCTCTGAATGAAGTCGCAAGAAAGAGCTCATTTTCATTTGTTGCTGTTGAAACTGCTGGCGTCTATGGTCGAACCTTCTGCGATTTTGGAAATTGCTTTGAAATCCACGACATTGATGGAGAGACTCCTCTGTCAATACCGCTTGACCGCGTGGAGAGAATCGACGGAGTAGAGAAGAAGATGAAAGTACGATGTATCAGTGGGGAAAGGCACGATGTATCGAGGGGAGACGTGGTCAGTTTTTTGCTTGAAGGTGGCGAGGCTCTAGATGTTACTTGCAAAGTTGTCCAAGTTTATAATCCAGAGCTTGTCTCCGTTGAATTTGATGTAGATGATGATGAAATTGATTCTATTGTTGTAAGACTGAACGAAGCGGGGAGAAGCTTCTCACGGATAAAGCAATTGCAAGAAGTCTCCTTTGTTCCCCTTCAAGAAGCTATAAACGACCAATCTGGAAGCCTTTTCACTCCTTGTGACCTTGACAAGAGTTTTGACGAGAGTAGAAGGATGGGAATATTTAACTCTTTCCAAGCCTTGAACACCTTTGTAAAGGAAAACGATCGATTGCCTCGCAAACTGGATTGGAACGAGTTTTATGGCATTGTGAAGGGAGCAACTGCTTCGTCAGAAGATGTCAAGGAATGGAAACGTCACTGCAAACAATTTATGAGAACTTGTGCTGGAAAATTTACCCCTATCCAAGCAATTTTTGGGGCTGTCGCTGCGCAAGAATGCTTGAAGGCTGCTAGTGGTCTCTATAACCCAATCCGCCAATTTCTGATTTACGATTGCGATGAAGTGCTACCGCCAACCAAGAAGAAACAAATGGAAGAGACATGCAGTTCTGGTCTGGAATACATTTTGGGAAGTAAAGTTGGAGATGCTGTAAAGAATCAAAATTTGTTTGTTGTCGGTGCAGGTGCTATTGGTTGCGAAATCCTGAAGAATCTTGCAGCGATGGACGCGGGGACGGGATCAAAGGGCTCAATCATTGTTACAGATATGGATACCATCGAGAAGTCAAACTTAAGCAGGCAGCTGCTGTTCCGTGATATGGACATTGGGAAATTCAAGAGTCAAGCAGCGAAAGAGGCAGTTCGTCGTCTGAACGATGGCGTCAAGATTGAATGTCACACAAGCAAGGTAGGCGACGGCGAAGAGAGCACTCCGTTTGATGACGAGTTTTGGTCAAAGAAGGTCGGTGTTGTTATGAACGCACTGGATAATGTTGAAGCCCGATTGTTCATGGATGGGCAGTGCGTTGCGAATGAGAAGCCACTTGTCGATGCCGGGACACTGGGTTCAAAGGGCAATGTTCAAGTTGTTGTTCCACATCAAAGTGAATCCTATGGAAGCTCCGCTGACCCACCGGAGCCAGCAATTCCTGTTTGCACGCTGAAAAACTTCCCTTACCAAATATCTCATACTATTCAATGGGGAAGAGATTTGTTTGACGGATTGTTTGTTCGTCGTCCTAAGCAGGCAAATCAATACGCTTCATTGTATTCTGAACTCGGATGGGAAGAAATCGCTGAAAGATTGGAAAGTGAGTTAGGGGAAGCCGCTGCGATTGATGCAGCAAAAGAACTTCGCCAAGACTTGGCTAAACCAAATGGTAACGACAATGTGTCGCTGAAGGAAGCAAGCATCGTATGGGCAATAGAGCTCGCAAACGACCTCTTCTACGATGTAACAAAGAAACTTCTCGCTCAACATCCAGAGGACAGTGTGGACGAAGATGGCGAACCATTCTGGTCGGGATCTAGGAAAACGCCCAAGTTGATTTGGTTCTCTTCTGAAAACGAATCGGAGAGCCAGCAATCTCTTGTCAATGAAAACTACGCAGATTTCGTTCATCATGCAGCGAGGTTGCGTTTGGAAGCCCTAGTTGAAGATCCAGCTTCAGTGAAAGACTGCTTAATCACAAAAGAGGACGCTGTCGAGGCTCTGAGGAAGTATAGCTTGCGGGATCCAGATGCTAGAAGCGAAGCCGAGTCACCCCAAGTGCAAATTCGACGACGCTTGGAATCGTTGGGAGATAATGTTTGGTCCGAGAGGCCTCAAAACGTTGCTGAATTCGAGAAAGACGACGATTCAAACGGTCACATCGCATTCATCACTGCTGCAAGTAATCTTCGTGCCATGTGCTACGGAATTGCACCAGCTGATGCGATGGAAACCAGAAGGATTGCTGGCAAGATTGTCCCTGCGATGATAACCACAACGGCCTTGGTCTCGGCACTTTCTTGCATCGAAATGGTGAAGGTGGTCCAAGGGCTACCATTGCAACGATATCGCAACGCCTTTATCAATCTAGCACTGCCCTTCTTTGCTTTCACAGCGCCTCTACCTACCGAAGAGCTACCAGGATTGAGAGGCAGCACCTACACTATGTGGGATCGTTTGACCGTGAAGGAAGGAAAGAAAACAGCAGAACGAGGAGGAATAACTGTTCGCCAATTCCTGAAGCGTCTCAAGAAGAAGGCTTCCGACAACCCTGATGAACTGGACATTTCGACTGTCACATTCGGTGAGTTCATGATTTATGCGAACTTTTTGAATGAAGATGACGACGATTTGCTGGACAAGAAACTATGGGATGTCGTACAAGGGGCTCTTGAAAGTGCCGCTGAGTTTGAAAAAGAATACTCCAGAGACGGCGGCGATGAATCAAAAGCCACTACCGTTGAAGCAGCCAGGTTTTTGGACTTCACTGTCGCAGTCGAAGATCTGGAAAATGGTGAAGAAGTCGAACTTCCACCAGTTCGAGTTATACGGTCATAAGAAGCATTTTCAAGATGAACGAACTATTTTTATTTCAATTTATATCTATCGGGATAAGCGCATTAAAGTCCAAATGACATTTCATTTGTAAGTTTAGGCGCCTACAAGAGGCTGACGCTCTGATGCAAAAGAGCTGTCGGTTTCGTCAGCTCCATTATAGAAAGGGTGGAATGCTGCTTGTGTCGTTCCGGTCTTATTTTGCTTGGCTGCTTCTTCTTGATCCTTTTTCTCGAGCTCGTGTTCGTATCGAAGATATTTTCCATTGAATGTGGCAAAGAAGACAGTGGCAATAGTGTGTAGAACAATGAGAAGGTAAAAGGAGAATGTGTACTCTGGTCTCTCGTCGTCCTCCCCTTTGCCAACGTCTTTCAAAGCCTTGAAAAGAGGAATGAAGAGAGCGCTCAACAGGTTGGAAAAGAGCTGCTGGATAACCAAAACAGTATTCTCACTCAACGGGTATGCCACATCGACACCAAGTTCCGTGGATACTGGCTGAAGTGGACCAACAAGCACGGCAACAATTACAAGAGCCCATCTCAAGTCACGTCCTTTGTTTTCATCCAGACTAACGCCGCACTCGGCAAGTCCAAAGGCACCAAGAACCAACATACCAATGGTAACGGAGTAATAGGCGCGAGTCTTATCAGTTTGCTTTCCAATAATCAAACTGGAAATCATAATCATAAGCTGGAAGGTTCCTCCAATCACTCCAGTGTAGTATCTCGGTGCACCATTCAGTCGGACCAAATAGTCCATGTAGGTGGATAGGGTGTTGATCACAATGCCCGAGACTGTGAATGCAACAAGAGCATGGATGAAACCAGGTCTCGACAAACAAGCGCGAATGGACAAGATTACTTGATCATCTCGAATGTCAATATCAAGATGGTGTGGAGATAAGGTAATGACTGGCTCGGCACCCTCGTCCATATTACCAGCCATGGGATATGATTGGGGTTGCAAGTAAGGGTTGGGATAGTAGAACGGCATAGGAGGAGCTTGAGGCATTTGTGGCGGCATTTGTTGTTGCTGCTGCTGCATTTGCTGTTGATAATAGTAGAATTGCTGGTAAGCAGCTTGTTGCTGTTGCATTTGTTGTTGCATTTGCTGTTGGTATTGAGGGTCCATTTGCATTTGCTGTTGGTATTGAGGGTCCATTTGCATTTGCTGTTGATATCGAGGATCCCAGTAAGGTTGCTGGTAGCCAGGAGGAAAGCCTCCATAGGGTGCGATTCCAGGTGGTGGCATCATTCCTTGCGGAGGATACCCCTGTGATGCATTCTCCCCAAATTGTGGAGGGGGCGCATTCAAGCCTTGTTGCGGGCGTTGATCTTGATTGGCATCAGTATAGAGAGAAGACGACTCTTCTGGGTTGGGTCGATCGTTACCAGACGCATCCATGGCGGGAGAAGGTGCTATAGCGCCAAAGACGGAAGCCTCATACTTCAGTCTTTCAATTTGGGCCTTGGCCTTGGCAGTGGATCCCTCCAATGCTGGGGATGGAGCTGAAGAAAGACTGTTGACAGATCGTTGTGCGTTGCCTCTTCTTCTTGTGCTTCCACTAGTCTTCCGATTACCAGCATCAAACGCATCCATGGCAGGACTGGGCGCGGAAACAGGGGGATTGTCGCCTCCCGCGACATCAGGTGTACCAATGTTTCGGACCGACTGCATAATGTCTTCAAATTTGGGCAAATTCATATCGCCTCTCATGACACGAGCTGACGCCGAAGGAGGGGTTGGAGGAGCATCATCAAATTGAATCAAGGTTCCCAAAAAGACAATGGTTGAAAGCAAAGTCAGCAACCCAAAATAGTTGGGAATGTCCTCGGCTTCAGACACCAACAGAGTTCCAAACACAAAGGCAAATCCAATTCCAAGCTGGTTCGCATTCAAAGCGACACCAGTGGCCATGGTACGTTCCTCTTCCGGAAACCATGAGGCCGACAACAGTGCGGGAGTACATTGATACAATGGTTGTGATAGACCCACGAGAAAGAATCCCAAATACAATCTCCACTCTTCTTGTCCAACTCTCAAATCCGAAGGAATAATTGGAGGAATACCTCCACTCTTGACCAAACTTCCAATCATGAGTAGCAAGGACCCAAACAAGACTGTCTTTCGCAATCCCAATCGCGCAAGAATAATGGGTTCACACGCCGACGCAGCGGCATTGGCTCCCAAAAAGACCACCACCAATCGCTCTGGGTCAATGTCTCCAAACGCCTTTTCCGTCAAGAGTGCAATGGGCGCGACGGAATAACAAGTCCAATCTGAAAGTAAATTCAAAATGGACATGTACATTAGCATGATCCATCGCTGCCAATACACCTTCAAGGTCTTGTCGCCGTCATCGTCGCTGGGAGAAGGAGCATCACCAGATCCACCCGTGGCAGATTTCTTCTTCAAGTCACTCTTGGTATCCGCACCACCACCACCACCGGCAGTTGGTCCAGTACCTTGTGATGGTGCCGGTGCATTTGCTCGTGCACCACTACCACGTCCCATGGATCGTCCACCTCCTGCCGACGAGAAAGAAGAATCCTTTGGTGTAGTGCGTTGGTTGGTTCCATAGGTAGTGGTAGTCAATGGTGGTTCTTGGTGATGTTGTTGTCCATTCCCAGCATATTGGGATGCCAATAGGGTCGACCCATACCCCGGTTGTGCCAATTGTGGTTGTGGCTGATGGATCATGGATCCTCCCGATGGAAGATATCCCTGCTGCATAATCATCGGAGGAGATGAGTTGGACGCCATGGTCGGCGTTGGACTGGGATAGAAATATTGTCCCATAATGGGTGCATGCCGTCCATCCAAAAGTCTTGGAAGGGGCGAAGTACTTTCGGCTCTTGATGCGTGGTTGTCACTGCTACTGGTCGAACTGACTAGGCTACTCAACGAATGAATCTTGGTGATTGGATCCTCATCATCATTGTAACTGTTTCTTGGTACCAAATGGGGATTTGGAAAGAACTCTTCGCTCTCATCATCCGAAAAGGAGAGGGACGCATTCGATTCATCGTTGGTACTATTCGCCACATAGTTGTTATTGTTGTTGGAAGCACTGCTCATGTAACTGCCGCGACGGCTGTTGGGAGCTGGCAACTGTGTGGCAAAATAAGAAGAGTCATCATCCGAGGAAGACAAGTCTTCCGCATTGGGATATCTCATAAAGGACTTTCCCGGGTAATAGGGTGCGTCTTCGTCCATCGAAACAGTTCGCAGGGAGTTGGGATCGTTTTCCTTCTCCTCCAAAGTACTAGCTCGATGATAATAACTCTTGGATCCATCCGGAGTGACTGGTTGAGGCGGCAAGGACAACATAGTAGAAGTAGTGCTGGACGATACCGTGGACTCATAGGTAGAGACCGTCGCCGCGTCGAGTGTTGGCGCTTTGGCGGACGTTGTAGTGATGGGCGCTTCCGTCATGGTTGGTTCTTTTGCTACGTTCTCATCAAAAGTTGGGCTGTTTGTACTGCTGTTGGTAGCTTTGAATTCAGCGTTGTGTTCCTCCAGGATAGCCATTGGTTCCGACTCTTTGGCAACCAAAGCCATGTCCATGACCTTTATTGGCAGAAGATTTGGATTGGAATATCAATCGCTCTCTACTTGCCGTTGGTGGGATTCAAACAGTAAGCCTTTGGGTGGTGAGTACGAACCTAAAAATTGAAAGATTCCAATTCAACTCCAACCAGATGGCAATCACAGGAGCGTTATCGTTTGTCTTTTGTTTTGCTCTTAGTCCGATATGAAGATCCAGCTGCTGCAGGGATCCTTCGAAATCTCAAAGTTATTGCTGTTGGCTTGTGATTCCTTTGGGAGTACCTTCTGTATCCAGGTTTGTTCTCGTACAACAAGCAAGCTGTTGGAGGTATTAATATCTCAGATGCTATTAAAATAATTTCCTGTATCTGGTAACACATGCAATCTTGTCTAGAAATCTCCCGCGCACCACGATGTTTTGAATCATTGCCGGGTCGGCACGCGTCCGAATGCGAGATATTTCAATTGTCACGCGCTGGTCATGCGTCACGAAATCTCGATCCGAAATCTGCTTTTGGGGCGTTTCGTGCTGTGTGATTTGAGATTGCGTGATGTCATTCAGATCTTGCTTTTTTATTTTATTACGCGTGTAAGTGAAGTTTCGTATTGTACCACCACTACCATTGTACTGTACCACCACTACTAGATTCCATTGTGGTAGCTTGTTGAGCACAATGTGCATCAAAAGTAGTACCCTAGGACCTATGTATGTTTTATTTTTCTTCTGTTTTTGCCAGAGACATTGAACGTGTATTATACGAATATTGAATATGATAGAAGTTGTGTGATGCAATCATGATACGGTAATTTGTCGTGATTGACATACAGTAATGTATCAGATATCTACGCCGAAGTAATGGACCATCGAATGAACCATTCGGCAAATTCAAAAGGCCACAAAATGAGATTGAACGGAAATGGCATTCCGAATCCCATTCGCCACTGAAAGTAGAATCCCCAAGCGGCAAATCCATAGCTCATGTATTCGTCAAATCGGGTATCGGTGTGCTTTTCAGTCACCAGACCTCCCAAATCAATCTTGCGTTCCAATAGTTCATCGTAAATGGAGCGAGAAATCATGAGACCTCCCTTCAAAGCTGATGCAAAGGCACTTCGGAGAGTTTCCAACCACCAGGCAATGGACATGGCAATCGATTTCGAGATCCTGGTATTGTAGTAGTTGAAAAGCAGAAATAACAAGCATTAGAATCATGCAAAAATATAAATATGCAAACCAAACAATCCATCCATCATTCCTTAAGAAAGAACATATAGAGTACTTACCATCCCAAAATAACAGGAACCCAACGATCGTACTCATCCGGAATAGCAATCTGGACAGTAGGAGAAATGTATCGATCCACAGGACGATTCAAGAAATCAGCAATGGCCAAGGAAAAGGAAATTGTGCGCGCAAATCGAATGCTCAAGACTGCGGCCACACTCAACCACACCTTGTAAATGGAGGCCATGGCAGTGTCCACCTTTTCAGGATTCATCTTTTGCAAGACCAACAATGTCTTGCGCTGGACGAATTCCTTTGCCTCAATTTGATTGACATCCTTGATTCCATCCTTATCCTGATCTACGTCATCGTCCTTCTTGGATTGCTCAATAATAATAGTGGCTTCTTCGGCAAGATCCTTAATGGCCTCGTAAATGGTTTGACGTCCTCCGTATTCCGCTGCCATGGCGGCCGCAAAGAGGACGGGATACAAACCACCAAAGAAGCAGTAGACCGCTCCAATCAAAAGATTGAGTTCGTTCTGGGGCAATCCATTGTAGAACGCAATCGCCTTTTTGGAATACTCAATGGCTACGGGGATCTTGGGGACAAGAAAGTCAAAGGCTGGTTTGGCATACTCTTGGAGCTTTTCACCGGCGACTTCGGCATACTTGGAGACCTTTTCAATGGCCTCTTTGGTCTTGTCGGCCTTGGAGGGTGTTTTAGTAGTCGACATGGTAACGATGTCAATTAAAATGGCAACGCGGAGGTGTTAGAATTCCACGAATGGTGTGTCGAAGAGTCGAAGAACCTCGTCTTCTCTTGCTCTCGGCGCTTTTTCGGAACTCGTATCAGATTTTTCTGATATTTTGGATCCTGTCCCGAATTCTTTCGCGTGGTTTCTGCGCGACATCTATCTATATTAGGGGGCATCTTTCTCATTATTGGGGGCTACTCACTCCTCTTTCGGGTCTGTGAAATTTCAAATTGCAGGTGACGTGTTGATTGATCCGATTACTTTGATTTCTGGAGGACCACGCATCTTGAACCTTGATGATGCCTTCTCTGCAAACCTGAGCCACCTGATACAATTGAATTCCTTACATTCTCCACCAAACCTTCACTGTGATCACATATTTGGCACAGACTTCTTCTACACATCCCATCGCTCCAAATACAACACCTACAATTCAATAACTACCATGCGCGTTCTTTCCAGTGCCCTACTTGCACTATCGGTCCTTTCTTCCAGCACATCGGCATTCGCACCTACATCTTCCAGAAGCAGTATTCAAAGTGCACTCAATATGGCCAACCCTGTTAAGTCAGTCTTCTTGACTCCCGAAACGGCCGCCGCCTGTGTGGATATTGCCGGAGGCAGCCCAGTCTACGCCTATTCTTTGGAAAAGCTCGAAGAAGCCGCCGATGCTTGCCTCGCCTTCCCCAACGCCTATGGATTGACCGTCCGTTACGCAATGAAGGCCTGTCCCAACTCTTCCATCCTCAAATTCTTCAACTCCAAGAACATTCACATTGATGCCTCTTCTGGATACGAAGTCAAGCGCGCCATTTCTGCTGGTATTCCCGCCGAGAACATTAGTCTCAGTACCCAAGAGCTTCCTGCCGATTTTGTCGATTTGGTCAAGAAGGGAATCAAGGTCAATGCTTGGTAAGTGATTGTGTGAATGGAATGCAAAGTGTGCAAATCGATCATTTATTTTCATTTTCCCCCTCACACCATCTTTTACAATGTCAGTTCTGTTTCTCAATTGGAACGATTCGGCGAAGCCTTTGCAGGAACTGGCCAAAAGGTTGGAATCCGTGTCAACCCTGGTGTCGGATCCGGTGGTTTCTCCAAATCCACCACTGCCTTTTCCAAGACCAATGTCGGAGGACCTTCCTCTTCCTTTGGAATTTGGAACACCTTGCTCGAAGACGGCACGGTTCCTGCCATTGTCGAAAAGTATGGTTTGACCGTCGAACGAATCCACACGCACATTGGATCTGGAAGTGAGCCATCCATTTGGCAACAAGTGGCTGTCAAATCTCTTTCCTTTTGCAAGATTTGGGATACCGTCGAAGCACTCAACTTGGGAGGAGGGTACAAGGTTGGCCGTAATGAGGGCGAGCCAACTACTGATTTGCAAGAAATTGGCAAGCCCGTCACGGAAGCCTTTAAGGAATTCGCTGCCGAAACTGGACGGGAATTGAAATTGGAGATTGAACCAGGAACCTACTTGGTCGCCATGGGAGGCGCCTTGGTTTCTACCGTTCAAGATAAGGTTTTCACCACTGGAGAGGGAAGCCACACCTTCCTCAAGTTGGATTCGGGAATGACTGATGTCCTGCGTCCATCGTTGTACGGTGCCATCCACCCAATTACTGTTTTCCCAGGATCTGGAAAGACTGAAGATGTTGGTTCCGAGACCGAGGATGTTGTCGTTGTTGGACATTGCTGTGAGAGTGGTGATCTCATGACACCCAAGCCCGGTGAACCAGAGGATTTGTCAGAGCGAACCCTTCGCAAGGCTGAAATTGGGGATATCTTGATCATGGATGGAAGTGGTGCCTACTGCGCTGGAATGAGTACCAAGAACTACAACTCCTTCCCAGAAGCTCCAGAAGTTCTCGTCGATCGCGAAGGAAAGGCACACCTTATCCGACAACGTCAACCTTTGGAACAAGTGTACCAAAATGAAGTCACAATCGCCGAATCTGTTTTTTAAACGATGTCATTGATCGTCTGCCAACAAACTCTTGACGCTACTAGAGTTATACTAATGTAGTCTAGTCCATTCTATTCTGAACCTTCAACAATACGAGCACCAGAGGGATGATGATTAGCTTCCAAAATCAATTATCATCTGAGATGGTCAGGCAAAAAGTCAATGAATTGAGCCTGCAATTTAGAATGTCCCTCCAGGATTACTTCCACCTCTTGAAGGACTTCTTCAGACGATTTACAATGAAAATCCGTGATGACATCCATCAGTCGCAAATACTTTTCGGGGCTAATAGCGGACTCAATTTCGAGTAGTAACGTTTTGGCGTCCATTCGCCGCTCTTGCAAGGCACCAGTCACATCGGCTATACTGGTTCTAAGCCATCCGTTGCCGTTTATTTTCTTTTTCTTTTGAGATTTTCCATTACAGCCATTCAAATTATCTATTGGAATGGTGCTGTTTATGTTACGACGGGACTCCATTGTTTCAACCATACGAACAGACATATCTCTTTTTTCATTGTGGAATATTCGAAATTGATCTGGGATCTTGAACCGATAATGATAGTCAACAATGTCTGGGGCACTCTTGGACCCTTTGACCCGCTTGAATACCATTCGCAAAGACCCAGCATGCCTTTGAAAGCTGTAATCGAACGCATCCTTTTCTGTTTGCGTCCAACATGTCAGAAAATCTTCAGGCTTCTTTTGAATTCGCTCCAGTGCTTCGTCAATACTGTAGTCAGATTGATGCAATACCATCAACATAGCGTCAAGGTCAAACTCTCTTAGCATCCTCTTGACCGAACCGGACAATGACGATGATGTACATAGAGAAGAGAGAGTTGGCAACATATTTGATCCATCAGCTTTCGTCACCCTCTCCATTTCTTCCCATGGGAGGGGCGAATATGGATCGTTTGTTGTTAATTGATTGGCAATAAGATATGAATTGAGAGTTAAAGCAGATTGCTCCAAGAATTTGAGTATACAATCTTGCGAGGTGCCATTCGCTTTCCATACTAAAGTTGGGTTTCTTGATCTAGCACTGGATTCTGCCGTTGAACTCGGGACATTTACTTGGTGCTTTGAACCCACACGAATGTTCCTTTGTTCTATCTTCTCATCATCAACATGTGCTCTGCCACCAACGTTCTCGGAATCGTCGGCATCGCTTTCTCCTTCAGAACTATCTGCATTTCCATGATGGAAAGGTAAATGAGCGGCTGGCTTTGGCACGAATCGAACCTGGATTAGCATTGCGCCCAAGGGATCCTCTTCCCCATCATAAGGTGTTACAATAATATCTTTTGATCTAGGACCGAATTCTATTTGATAACGGCATAGATAACTTCGATTCGGGAAAGGAGGGAGTCTTTCATCGGATTCTGGTCGTCGATAGATTACTTGAACCTTATCGCAGATAGTTTCGGGAGCGTTGTTGTCGCACTGGTTTGTAAGTACGAGATCGTACGGCGAAAGCTTGGATGACAAACCAATGGTTGGAAACAAACGTTCCACGTGATCTTTCGTCAAGAACCAACGGGCTCGAAATCTCGTTATCGGGCGAGATTTTCCTGGATGAATCTCTGTCCATATTCCTTCAACACGAGCAATCATCTTGGGATCAGGCTCATTGGTGGTAATAATGTGGTGGTCTTGAACACGTAGGACAACAAAATCTCCGACCTTAATGCTGCTCTCGTCGGTAGGTAATGAAGGGCGCTCATCAGCTGACTCGTCACTCTTACTATTGCTTCGCCTTCTTTTCATACTAGGTTTGTAATAGTGTAACAAACTAGCTCAATCGTTTTAACAGGCGTACCCCTGACACTTTCAAGTTGTAAATAATGACGAAAATCCTTATTCATTTGGTAAAAATATTCCTTATTGGTAAAAATATGTTTTCGTATTCCAAGGAACCTCCGAGTTTGCTGCCTGTTTCCAAGCAATGACGTCTTGAAAGCGTTGGAGAAGCAAACGGAAAATAATATTGGTGTCCACAGTAGTTCTAGAAACTAATCATATTTGATACATCGAACCGTTCATATGCCTTTTCCAAAATAATGTCCAGCCTTGGGCATGGAGTCTTGTAAGCCAGTTGTGCATTGATCAGTGTGCTAAACTCATGGAACTCTTGGAGAAGTGAGAATATATCATGGAACCCCCGCCACGTGATCCAGCATACTGTCTTTTTCTTCAGCGCGAAATTGCATGATCTCCCTGATTGTTGCTGTCGTTTTAAGTTTGTCTTAATCTCGCTCAACGCGTAGTCAGCAGCGTCATCAATCAACTTGAGCAAGAATTCCGGATTTGATGATTGCATCAACTGACTGCTCCTCAAATATTCAGCCATCTTAATGGCACCATAGAGCATCGTCTGATAAAAGTTGGCAACAACTTTTTCGAACGAATTGATCGCAGAATCAAAGAGTATGGGGATGCATCTCGGAAGAATAAAACTTTTCACTTTTGACCGTAGCCCGCTTCCTTCGTTTCCTTCTCTGCGAACAGTCAGGCTATCCCGTGCTATGCCCCCGTGAAATCTTGTATAATCCATAGATACCTCGCCAGTCATAGTATCAAAAAGCATCCCGCACCAAGGAAATAGACTGTCGCCAAAAATACTATGCGTCATCCTGGCTTCCGCGAGGTGGCTCACAAGTGTTTTGCCTTTGTTTACCTTCACTCCAAGTGCTTCATTTCCTTTGTCCATTCGATCAACGAACTCGTGAATAAAGTCGCTCTCTGTTGATATACAGAGGAAGTCGTCGACCTGCCTGGTGATAAGGCTCGCCGAATTCTGCATGCCTTGAAACAAGGAATCTTCCACGCTACCATAATATAGATTGCACAGCAACGTTGAAAGAGTGCTTCCTTGAGGAATTCCCCCACTTTGCAGCAAAGCCCGTTTTCCATATCGCCCATTTGCCGCAACCAAGTTGCTGCAAAGGTGTTCTGTCAGCAGTTCCATAACCCTAATCCTTGACATCACATTGCGATTTCTCGAATCAAAAATCACATTCTTCAGGCTCTTTGAGATTGACTGGCAATCCTGATGATTGGGATCAACAATCTTCCTCACCTTCGTTTCCAACTTGCCTTCATTTTTGTTCAAACAAAATTGATTGAATTGCTGAATGAAATAACGATCCCTTGATATTAACTCGTTGAGAAGTTTCAGCAGATGGTCTTGATTGATACTATCAAAGCATTTTTCGATGTCCACTGAGGCGAAGCGAAGCATCAAGTTTTTCCTAGGCTTCTTCAAGCCAAGAATGAAATTACGGTACAACGGATAAAAGTCGGACAAACTTGCCAGTCCGAAGCCAAAAGGTCGAGCGAGTTGACTGCACTCGTACTTCAATATGTGAAATGCTTCAGAAAGTATCTTATTTGTTGCAAGCAATTTCATTGATCCTTTTTGAAGATCAGAAAAATATTCTTCTTGCGATCCTGGTAAACTTCTACGCCCCAGGTCTCCACGCATAACAGGCTTACAGTTCATCGAAAATGGAAAGACAGGTGACCGGCTCAATTGCGAAATTGGGCGTACTCCAGTCGCTTTTGGCAATAAACGAAGTTGAGAGAATCCCATTCGTTGTTGCACCAATAATTGCCTTGTTCTCGCTATCGAAAGCTGGAAGAATTGTTTCCGAAGCAACTTTTTCATGGATAGAGAACGAAAAATGGACCAAACCGGTTTCCGGTAGTACAATAACTGTTTCCCCGCGAATTCGCTTTCTGTAACGTGGAAACATGCTCGCAAAAGCGGAATAAGAAAACCTCGAAATATCCACCGGAGCACTCCCAATGCTAAGGATGTGACAACTTGATGATCAGCTTTGGTCCAAGATGTTCCAGCGCGCTTGTTACCTACCAACCACGGCATTTTGGTGATTCGGATTCCATGCATTAGCCTCTTGTTGGCAAGCTTCTCGTATCGCCGGAGCATCACAAAATGACGAACTGACTCGACGACAGAATCAAAGTTGCCCCCAGATCCCCAAAATTTGGCTGGGAATACGGCTTTCAATACTGATACCAGAAAGGAGGCGACTGATTCGTTCGTTGCATGGCTGTGAGCTAGTGTAATTAGATCATCTTGACCAGCTGGGATAGCTGGATTGCTTTTCGTCGATATGGCCGTCGCAGTGTCTGGGATCGCACAGTAACGATTTAGGAGCCTAGCGTAGTCGCATTTGGAATGTCCCAGTAATATTTGATGACACAGGTCAACGCCATAGTGACGCACGCGTATCCACCTGCGCTTATCTTGTGTAGTTTTCTTGCCCCCTTGTTTTGAAGAATCTGACATGACCATTCTTCGTAGCAGTATAGTGGCGCCGTTCTGAGTGGGCGACGACTGGGTTTGAAGTTGCAAGACATGACTCTTTGGAAGGCCAATTTTTGGAATGTAGAAGCTCGAATAGTAGAGGGAATGTCGCGACAGTGTACCATTGGGGTGGTGGTGGTTGTCGTCCATTGGTACCCATTGCTGAATCCATCGTGGGCGCTTGAATGATGGGCGATTTCTGTCATCAGCACTAGTTGCCTTGATTGCAGCTTTCCCTTCCCATTGAGACAAAGGGGGCCCACACACCATCAAGAAATTTTCCTCTTGGTGTTTGCAGTCATTGCGAGCCTGATCTGCCGGCTGTTGCGACTGCAACTCGGACAGTGGAAGAAAAAGCCTCGTATGGAGTAAGATGGTCCGCAACAGTTCATCGCCAAGACTCCCGTGTAGCTGTTGGAAGGTGATTGATGATTTACAAAGGGATACCTTGTCATTTGGTTGAAAACAAGCTACCCCAGGTCGCATAAGGGGTGTGATTGTGACTGGCATTGGTTGAAACAAATGATTGTGACGATTTGAAAAAGATGCCAAATCTTCAACGGATTCAGCCGCATACCCCTGGGCCAATACGTTCCTTCCACTTTCTATCTGAATTTCTTGATCATGACCATCAGGTGCCATTTGATCGGAAAGTTTCCTTCTCTTCTTCACTCGTGTTGATGACGATAACGATTCATCTGCTTTTCGTTTTCGAGCATCACAACTTAATCGTTTCCACTTATCTCGACGTTGGACCAAACACCAAACTACATCGTCCACTAGACCTGGAAGTGGTTCCCAGCATTCCACCTTTCGAAGCGATGGGGACACCACAATTGAATTCAAGGGTGCCAGAACCAGAGTTGGAAATCGTTTCAACGTGCATTCGTCAACTTTCAAGTTTGGAGCGTATTTTGCAATGAACTGGTCAAGCAAAAGAATTTCTTGTTCGGGCGGTAACAACGCCTCAATCGTGGAAAAGAGCGCCTTGTCGTTGTGGTTTGAAGGGAGGGCTTTATGTTGTTTATCTCGTCTTCGTTTCCTGGAGTTCTTCATGCGGCATCAGAAGATGTTCGTACGCAGTATTTTTATTCAGCAATGCAATATTCGACCCGTTCGACTTCAACAATTCAAAACTCCCAAACTCCAATCCAGAGTAACGCAACGTCAATCACGGTAGTGAACAGAGACGCTTGACTATCCTTCTTCTGCAATATAAGGGAGTTTCCAATAGAGAATCCAATCCCAGAGGAAAACGTCTAGTAAGCGACCCAAGATTGGAATTTTGGTCCAAATCGCCGATCCCTTTTCTAGAACTGGATGGGTCATCTTGGACCAAATGGGTCCCCGCAACAGGTACAAGAGCATCCGTCCCTTTCGTCGCTTCCATTCATCGTAGGTCCAGGGATTACCTGAGTTCTTTGTTGAATGTCTCCACAACAGCTTTAGTGACACCAGATCCATGAGCAATGTCTCAATCCAAGGTTTCAGCATTTTCAGAGATGACGAGGACGACTGTTGAATACCTGGCAATGACAAAGATGTAGTCTCGCTTCCACCGTAGGCTTCTGCCGAGGCCCAATACAATGGTCGCAGAATATGCAGCAGTTCACCTATCAGAATGCCAATGAGATGACCTTTTCTTTGTCTACTATCATTGTGCAAACAACTTTCATGACCATTTGCCTCGGCACTGACGCTGGCTCTGATATTGGTAGTACTCGATAACGAAGGAGGCAAAATCTTGCCGCTGCCGTTGGCAAGTCGAATGGTGAGCCCCGTCCGTCGACCCATGTACGCCTTTCTGCGACCCATTCTCTCGGCTTCAAGGCTGTGCAGCCCAGACCCCTGTCCCACAACATCAAACATGCCCCCAGCCTGCAAAATTCCAATATTGAAAGCATTGCCCTTGAGCTTGTCTAGCCAACTTTCCCCTTCTTTTGATTGTTGCCATTGTTGTTGTGTCCAGTAGGATGCCAACAGGTACAATCGCAAGCCAAACTTGACTTGTTCCAACCTCAGACGAACCCGACTTTGACTATGTTGTCTAGCAGAAGGATTTCTCCTTGAATTTTTGTTGCTGGGAAGGATTTCCAACAAGGTTGGCATGAGACAGTGAAGGATGCTAAGGTAGATGCGAATTCGTGTTGCCGAAATTGTTGGTTGCTCTTTGGTTTGGATGGTCATTCCATACGAATTTTCCAGTCCCATAGTAGACCCTTCAGTTTCTTCCGACGCACAATACATGGACAATCGATGCAACGACAAGAGTCCAAAAAGGACTTCTCGCCACTGATGTTTTGGAGCTGTTGGGTCGTTTGGATCTTCGGACTCGGAATGCGGCATCCAAAAGAGGATTCGTTCCAAGGCCTCTTCTGCTAGTTCCAGCGGGATTCGGTATCTTCTCAATAATTGTTTGTATAAATCCCACCATCCTGGCTTTTGAAATTCTAACGATCCTTCGTCTTCAGCCATCTCTTGTGATGAGTTGTCGGAAATGCTGGTGTGGTTGCGCATCGTCGTTTTGATGGATCCATTCAAGGGCATCTTCTCAGCTCCTGATGTTGCAGCTTTCATTGTTGCTCCCTTGTTTTGTTTCTCATTCGACATTAGAACTGTCGAAGCAAGAGAGTTGACAGTGTCACTCATGACGGTGCGAACTTCAGTGATGCTGATGTTATTATTGTTGTGGTTGACGAGTAAAATTTGGCGTTTCGTTTCAGTGTCGAGTGATTAATTCGACTGCAGAATAAAACTGACATTCAAACGAAACTTGAAAGTCTAATCCAAGCGGACAGAGAGGTTGCCGACATTTACATATCTATATAACAAATCATTTATTATAGCCAGTACTTTATAGATAGGAGATTCTATTATACAGTAGTTGCATTTACTTTGCTCCTATCGTTGAGGATTGTTCTACATTTTCGGCACGGTTCCCCCATTCGTCGGCAAGCTTTCGCCATATGATGGTAAACAAGGCGGATTGAATGGCATTGGCAATCATGCGGGTCCTTAAGCCTCTAATAAAAAATCCTTTCCATCCATCTGCTGTAAATATCATTCGAACAGTATCCCCATACGTAATTCCTTCATGTTTGGATCCCATGGATTGCTTGGTTGTCTTGATGACTCGTAAAGGGTTGACAATGGTGTCACTGACAAGGCTCGCGCAAAATCCCACCAACCCGTTGCGAACCAGAGGCGATTGGACGAGGCTCATGACAACCTGGTTTTTGGAAAGCAGATTGTAGATAAAGAACCTGGAATCAATCAATTGATTGATTGATTGATTGATTGATTGATGATAGGAAGAGTGACGAATTGATAGAAAGAAGCCTTGATATTAGAAAATGTCACGGAAACAAGTAACACCAATGAACCCCATCCATCCATCTATCCATCCATCCATCCATCCATCTCGCTACAGTACACTAACATGATACGTACCATGGAAAGTTACTCATTGCAGAAGAAATCGAATTAATAATGGCTCCCTGATACAAGACACCAAAGTTTCCCGCCTTTACTCGCAGCAGCAATCCCCGAAATCCTTGTTTCCCATCCACTTGCAAGACCACTTTGCATGTATCAATTGGCATGAGCACCATCCGAAAACATCCCACCACGATGGACGCCAAAAAGGTTTGAGTTCCAATCCCCCAAGATCTACTAATATCAAAACACGCCAATATCGCTTGCATGCCATCGTTGGCCGCCGTGGCAAAGAATTTGGACATGGGGGCTTGAATCAATGCAAATCCGACGCCTTCGTAGAGTCGACCGACACCACCTTCTCGATACAAGAGATCAATGGCATGGCGAAAGGTAGTTCCATACCGACATTGATAATTAATGACAGTCCGCAGCCACATCAACGTAATGACTTGGATGCAACCAGCGATGAGTCCGGAAATGCCACCATTCAAACCTCGTAGGAAAGCCTTTCGTAAAATACCTCCGGCAGCTATTTGTCGTTTCGTCGGAATTTCCTCTTTTAGCGTGGATGATGGTGTTGGACGACTTCGAAGAGAAGAGGTGGTGGTTGTCGTGTCGTTGTCGTCATTGTTCTCTTTCGGTTCGACATGTTTCGAATCTATTTCGACGGCTTTGACCAGGGAAAGACAACTTCTTTGGGACGAAAGTAGGACACAGAAACTAAGCAAGATCAGCAGTATTCTTCGTTGTGATATGCATGATCGTATCCTCATGGTTGAGGCTGTATTCTATTACTATGATACACGGATCTCGTGTGGGTCTGTGGTCGGGAGCATTTTCGAAATATCGCTGAATTTTGAAAATGGTGTGGTATTGAAGGGAATGTAGTGGGGGATCATCACCTGGCAGGGCCAACGATCGCAACGACTGACTGCCGGCACTGCATGCTACCAAAAATGAGTTCTCATCTCACATCGGCACTGAAATACGAACCTCTTCGAATTTCTGCAATTTCAAAGTGCTCGAGGTCGAGATTGTTGATCATTGGTGCCGTGCACATGCGTAAACCTCAGTACTACGTAGTAATGTGGCCGAAAAAGTACGGCAACTTGAATTTGAATTCCGTTGACGTGCGAACTTTGCTGTACAGTCAGTACTTTACCGTATCAGCAGAAGATCAAAAAATGATACTGCGAGAGGTCGGGATTCCGAACCAGAGTTCCAACTTCCAACCTCGCTCGATGGGGGTCATCCGCAAAATTACGAATAGCGGAAAAAGCCGACCACAGTTACTTTTTTCAGCCGGAAGCTATCATAAAAAGGATTTTGAATTTTTGGACTGCTTTTGAAAGAACAACAACAACCAACAAACAGTAACGAATCTTAGTCTGTTCATTATTCCAACCCACAACTAAGCAAACCAATCACCATGAGAGGCCACAACTTGCTGAGGCGCCCACGATCATTGGCACGTAGCACTGCCATCCAACCACTTCCACGACAACCATTCCCGAGAACACCCAACAATGCTTCGCAAACAGCAGCAAGTGCCACTCGATCCAAGTCAAGTCTTCCCCTGCCGCCTTCCTCATTGTTTCAAGTGTTTTTGGAACGATACAATGCGGCTCTGCACAGGCGCCCGTTGCTCGTAAAAGCATCGGCAGCTTCCATCATTTTCTTTGCCAGTGACTCGGCAACCCAACGAATCACGGAACCAGACAAGGATTGGGATTTCGCGCGAGCAGGATCTGGTGCTGCCTTTGGTGTCGTTGCCACGGCTTGGTTGCACTACTGGTGGGGATTCCTCGAGGTGGCAGTCGGCAAGCGATTGCCCACCAGCACGCACCGATTGTCCAACACCTTGACTAAAGTTGTTGTGGATCAAGCGATTGGAGCTCCCATGTACATTTACACGTACTTTGTGATTACCAACTATTTGCAAGATTGGAATGCCACTAAGGACAAAACCTCAGAGAATGCCAAACAACTCTTGGACAAGACTTGCAACAAGGCGTCTGCCATGCTTCCTCCTACCATGTTGCGACACTGGACCTTGTGGCCAGCAGTGCACACTTTTAACTTTTACTACATGCCCTTGCATCACAGAGGTACGTCATTGGATACTGATACATTGTTATTGGATCCTTATTTTGAAACCGTCTTTCTTACACCCACCTTCTCTCTGCTACTTTTTGCAGTCTTGGTCCAGAACCTTGTATTGGTAGGATGGAGTGGATACTTGAGTCACTTGAACAATGGAGGCCTCATGACTCCTGATGGGGAAATGGAGGTCACGGAAGAGATTATGCGACGAAAGTCCTATCGTTCCACACCAACGACGGTGCAAAAGCTACAGCAGCAAATGGAGGGAAGCTCCCCTATGCGAAGCTAACGGTCTTGTGTTTTTTCGGGCGCTACTACTACTACTACTACTGTTATCGTCTTCATCTGTTTGTCATTATCACCACCAACTACAAAATGTAAGATTAAAAACCAACGCAAAAAATGTGGTGTTGTTCCTAGTAGGAACGGACCAACGCTCAGACTGATGATGATGATGATTACAAGCATCATCATTTGTATTCTAGCTACTAGTGTTGATAAATAGGGACCGGTGGACACTCGTGGTTCCAACAACAGACACCGTTGCGAGTAGTCTTTGTTCCTCAAACTGATCTAAAGTCAAGTATGGAAACACATCTCTTGCAAATCTAGTACCGAACAAAACATGGTTTCAAGAGCCATTGAGCTGACTCGTTCAGTGAATAGCAATCACGTGGCATCCTAATATTATCATTATTCATTCGTAATAGAGTCAATAAACATATTAACACAAGGTTCCACCATTTTTCTCTTTTCTTTCCTTCCTCCCTTCCTC